GACAGGGTCTTCATAGAGGTGATTAAGTGATAATGAGGTCATTAGGGCGGGCCCTAATCCAGTATGACTAGTATCCTTATAAGATGAAATCTGGACACAGATATGTACAGAGGGAAGATGAAGTGAAGACACAGGGAGAAGAGAGCCATCTACCTATAAGCCAAGGAAAGAGGCCTGGAACATTCTTCCCTCACAGCTCTCAGAAGCAATCTGTCCATACTTTCATTGCAGACTTTGAGCCTCCAGACCGTGAGAAAATAAATGTCTGTTGTTTAAGCCACCTAAAACGTGGTACTTTATTATGGCAGCCCTAGCAAACTAATACACCTAGTCTGGTCCCAACATTTATTTCCATCTCTCTCTCTTATTATTCTCTAAGAAGAAGTCCAAAGTGTAATAGGCAGAGTCTTACTGGACCTCGCATGCCTTGTTTAGTCCACTTCATGTTGTTCTCTCAAAATGCAGTAACCTCCCCATACTCTGCAACAACTAAAATCCCACCTGTTCTTCAGGACTGACTGACACGATCCTTTTCAACTGTCCACCTTTGATCAACTGAACCTATACCACCAATCTGTCCTTTCTTTGACAAATTTCTTTGACAAATCCTGATACAATTCAAATGATCAATTAATCAGCTAGTTCCTTTTATCATGACTTAATTGTTCCCATGTGTGAGGAAGAAATCTTCACATTATTCCTAGTATCTCCTCCTTTGTATTATCTCCTCCAAGAGGACTGTACTTGCCCACAGGATGTTTAGTTCTTATGAGTGTACAGTCTGGAAGAGATAAGGTCTTGAAGATTAGGAGGCTAAATGACAGCCTATTAGAAGAAACACAAGACAGTGGGGAAGCCAGGAAAACTTCCTGCTGGAGGAGTCCTTCATTCACAAGAACAGGCCTATTTGTCACAGGTAGAACAAGTGTGCACAGGTTTCTAGGAAAGAAGATAATAATGGCATGGGCTCTACCTTGTAAGAAATGAGGTGGTGTTCTAAGAACAGAAATCCAAATTCTTTCAGTGGCCCCATTCTGTATACAGAGGGGATAATCATTTATTCAGAACAGAGTTTAATGAGCAATCTGAACTAGAGAAGCTGAGGGCTTGGAACAGAGCCTATGAAATGAACCCAAGGTGGTTCCAGATCTTGAAGGTAATGGTCTAACCACAGAGACAAATACATATCAGGTAGTTTCCACCAATGTGTGAAGTGCAGATGGAGAGATAGGGGACTGTGTGGATTTAAAGGAGGAGGAGAGGGCCGGCCCTGTGGCTTAGCGGTTAAGTGCGTGCTCTCTGATGCTGGCGGCCCGGTTTCGGATCCCGGGCGCACACCGACGCACCGCTTCTCCGGCCACGCTGAGGTCGCGTCCCACATACAGCAACTAGAAAGCTGTGCAACTATGACATACAACTATCTACTGGGGCTTTGGGGCGAAAATAAATAAATAAATCTTTAAAAAAAAAAAAAAAAGGAGGAGGAGAAATTAGCCCAGAGGGAGACAAGGGGAAAGAAAACAGCATTGTTTCCTGGATGAGGCAACCAAAGCTGACTCATGATAAGTCAAAAGTAAAGAGCCAGACCTCACACCTGTTAGAATGGCTACTATCAGAAAAACAGAAAATAGCCAAGTGTTGGCAACGATCTGGAGAAACTGGAACCCTTGTTCATTGCTGGCGGGAATGTAAAATGGTGCAGCCACTGTCAAAAACAGTGTGGCAGTTCCTCAAAAAAATTAAACACAGAATTATCACATGATCCAGCGATGCCACTTCTGGATATATCCACACAAATTAAAGGCAAAGTCTTCAAGAGATATTTGTATACCTATGTTCATAGCAGCATTATTCACAATAGCCAAAAGGTGGAAGCAACCTAAGTGTCTGTCACCGGATGAATGAATAACTAAAATTGGTATATACACACAATGCAATATTAGTCAGCCTTAAAAAGGAAGGAAATTCTGATACATACAACATGGATTATGAACTCTGAGGACTTTATGCTAAGTGAAATAAGCCAGTCACAAAAAGACAACTACTACATGATTCTACTTATATGAGTAGCGAAATTCATAGAGAGAAAGTAGAATGGTGGTTGCCAGGGGTTGAAGGGAGGGAGGAATGGGGAATTGTTTAATGGGTACAGAACTTTAGTTTTGCAAGATGAAAAGAGTTCTGGAGATTGGTTGCCCAACAATATGAATGTACTTAACACTACTGAACTGTACACATAAAAAATGGCTAAGATGGTAAATTTTATTTTATCTGCATTTTACCACAATTAAAAATAGAATGAAACAAAAAAAAAGAAGAAGAGGGGCCAGCCTCTTCTTGGTATAGTGGTTGAGTTTGATGTACTTCGGCAGCAGGGGTTCGCAGGTTCGGATCCTGGGTGTAGACCTATACCACTCACCAAGCCATGCTGTGGCAGCGACTGACACACAAAATAGAGGAGGATTGGCATGGCTGTTAGCTCAGGACCAAAGAGCCAGGTGTAGTTGCATGGGCTACTGTAACAAAACACTATAGACTAGGTGGCTTAAAAAACAGAAATTTATTTCCTCACAGTTCTAGAGGCTGGAAGTCTGAGATGAGACTGTCAGCATGGTTGGGTTCTAGCGAGGTTCTATTCCTCCCTTACAGATGGCCACCTTCTTGCTGTGACCTCACACGGCCTTTCCTCAGTGCCTGTGCATGGAAGGAGAGAGAGATTTCTCTCTCTCTCTTCCTCTTCTCATAAAGCCACCAATCCTATCAGATTTGGATCCCACCCTATGACTTCATTTAACCTTAATTACCTCCTAAAAGCTCTATCTCCAAATACAGTCACGTTGGGGGTTAGGGCTTCAACATATGAACATGCAGGGGACACAATTCATAGCACCAGGTAAACAGAATGAGGATGTGTTTCTAAAGATAAGTCTACAGAAGACAATGAGAATGTGATATGAGGCAGAGTCAGCTACAATAGGATATGTTTAAGAAACTAAATGAGGTTTGGTTTTGCTTTAGAATAAAGTCACATATTGAATTTTTTAATGTCATATTTCCCAATGAATGCTATTAAGAAAGAAAAATATCTGTATTGTTTAACCTGTAACTATAGCACATGTCACTTCCCTGGAACATCCTGGCTGCTCTGCTCAATAAATAGTTGTTCAGAAAGTCAAAGCAGCAATAAAGTAAAAAGAAGAAATGGGAAGGGGTAATGCCTCCAAAGCGTGAAGGTCATCCTGAGAGACTGGTAACTGTACTGAATAGGAGGAGCCACTGCGGTGATGAGACATTTCTTCATTAGCATTTAGATGAACTACTCATGTGGAAGATGTGCTTGAGTAGGTGAAGAAAGAGGTGTGCAGATTAGCAAAGAAGCTATTCCAACAGTTCAGTCAAGAGGCCATGAGAGAGCAGCAGGAGGAATAAAGTAGAAGAGTGCATTTAAAATACATTAGGTTGAAACATAAAATTGCTGTTATCTTTGACCTACACAGATAGGAAAAGTAGTAAGACATGATTATAGACCAGATGTGGCAGGAGTTGAGAGAGAGAGCAAGAGGAGCCAAGGACATATCCCACTTTTGTGGTTTGGGTGTCTGGCTGAATGGGCTTGTATCACCTAATAGGGAAAGATGAGGAGGATTAGTTTGGGAAGGGCTATAAATGTTAACTTTTATTTTCAATCAGTTGAGCTGGAGATGTCTTTTAGATACCTACGAGAGATGTGGAGTCAACTATGTCCAATATGGTAGCCACTAGCCACATGTGACTAATTAAAACTTAAATTAAAAATTCAGTTCCTCAGTCACACTTCAAGTGCTCACCAGGCACATCTGGCCAGTGGCCACCATTTTGGACAGTACAGATATAGATCATTTCCATCATCACAACAAGTGCTACTGGTCAGGGTGGGCTGCAGAGCCACATTTTGGAGAACTAGCAAATACATCATTGTTAAAACTGGAGAGGGGATGAAATGAGTCACAAAGATTAGTAACAAGAATAGTGAGAAGGAATGCAAACTTGTGGATGAGACACATGAAAGGGCAAGAGAAAGAAGACGACTCTATGAAAGAAACAAGAGACAGGACAATGGCAGAGGAAGGTGTCACAGACACCAACACAGAAGACTGTCCAGACGCAAAGAGTGGGGGCAGAGGCAGGCACTGCAGACAGGTCTAGTGAGGTAAGGACTAGGTAAGATCCACTGGATGTGACAGTAATTAGGTCACTGGTGAGTGCAGGTCACAGGCATATGAAGAGAGACACCAAGACCTCATGCAGTGGACTTAAGTGTGAACAGAAAGTGTGGTAACATTTGCCAGAGAATAGAACTTTAAACTGTCTGCTGAACAACTTGTTATGACAGGTACTTGAGAGAAATATTTATGGAGAGCTATTTTAAGGACATGAACACACAGGCCATTCATGTGAACCTCCAGTTAGTCTCAGTATTATCCCTGGATCCAGCAGGATGATCAGAAAAACGTTTACCTCAACTTCTGTTTTGTTACCTGAACAACTGAATTATCAAAAGCTCTGCTTTGGCAATATGCCCTCTACTTCCACTGAGGAAAAAGTGGGAACAACCACCTGCATTTATTTCAGGGTTGTTACTGGAAAGATTTGCACTATCACCTACATGAAGACCAACAAAGACATTTTTCCTGACTTCGAGGACTTTAGATTCCACGAAGAATGTTTGGTTTAAGCTTCTCATCAATGCAAATATTTAAACAAATACTGTCCGTCTGACTCTCTGCCATGGCTATCACAAATGTCAGGAAGAAATCTGCAGCTGCACTTTGGAAAATCTGTAACATTAGAGGACCTGCATCTATCCATGTGCCACCTCTGCTATGCTCTTCATTTGCTTTTCTGTATCTTCCCTGAATGATTCTGATCCATTTCTATTTCAACTTTTCCACGTAAAGGTATATGGTTCCTTAACCACTTATAAAGTCCAATATAAAAAAAGGTGTTAATAAATAACTCACCTGACATATGTTCATTTTCTGCTGCTCTTGGGAGAGTGTAGAGAAGTGTGAGGGATAAGCTGTGGGTAAGGAAAGAGGAATGGAGTCACGAGACGGTCTGGTGAGCCTCCGTATTCACTTGCCTCAAAATCTCATCACACCAGCTGGGGAAAAGGCCTCTCTATGGAAAAATATTCTGTTGACCCTTGAGAAGGGGCAGGAAGCACCACATGGAGACAGCACTCCCTGAATATGTACATCTCTGATATGATCACGTGGCTGTAACCTTGCCGTTTTTCCACTGTGACTGTAAATTATTTTCCTATTGATTTAAAAAATGTATGTCCCCCCGACTGATTAACAAAAAATTAAAACAGGATTAATATTAATATCCTATATTATTCTTTACACCTTGTTAGAAAATCAACACAAACTCGGGGAAAAAAAAGGTAAGATGCTTAATGACAAAATATTTTAACATCTCTTTGTTCCAATTTGTTGCAATTTCTCAAAAAGACTTGATAAGACACTTCTAGTGACTTACCTGGGACAGAATGAACAGCACTGTGCTTTGCTCCTAGGTCTGTCCTAGGTGACCAGGGGGGACATACATCTCAGGCTCAATATTTTTACCGTTTCAAAAGAGTCAGAAATAGAAATCCCTTCGTATACTATCATTTTGTGATTCATTATGTTCAGAATAAAGGAAGCCTCTGCATATCTCTAGATGCCACATGTGATGGACATGGTGTGAGAGTGGCTCAGAAAGAGCCACTGTCTTTCTGAGAAAGTGAGAAGAATAAAGAAAATGGGGGGCTATTTCAGAAGGACTGAAGATACAACTTCCTTAGCTCTGGTTGTGGCTTTTCCTGGGCAGCCTGACAGTCACCCATCCCTCTCAATCTCAGCTCACCACCTGCAAGCTGGTCCACAGTGTCCACTGTCACACAGTCTGTGATGGCTTCTGGATGTGGTGACATCAGCAAGTCTGGCTCTCTATGGGAACAGTGATTAAGAACTGCTTCTGGTGAAGCAAATAGGATCCACTCCTTTCTGAGTTCTTCTGTATCTGTTCTGAAGCTCCGGTGAGGGTAGTCCCTGTCAGATGGGCTGTTCTTCCAGGTGGGACTCCTGTCCCCAGGGCTCTGTCCTTCCTTCCACACAAGAGCTGCTTTGTTCCAGAGACATTGAGACTTAGACCTAGGAAACAAATCCATTTTAGTTGAAACTTTCATCGAGAGCAGTGTTTCTCAACTTCACTACTGACATTTTGGGCTGGATAATTCGTTATCATGGGGGGCTGTCCTGTGCAATTTGTAGGATGTCTAGCAGCAATTCTGGCCTCTACCCACCAGGTGCTAGTAGTGTTCCTCCTCACAGTTGTGACAACAAAAAACGTCTCCAGACATTTCCAGAAGTCCTCTGGGGAGCAGAATTACCCTGCCTGGGAACCACTGGGGTAGGGTTAACCTGATTCTCTTGGAATTCATTAGAAGTGTTCTATCCATTATTGTAGCCAACAGCCACATCCCACTATTGAGCACCTGAAATGTGGCTAGTGCCGTGTGTTGAAATAGCATTACAGTTAAATTGAGATAAACACAATATGTTCCTAAAATTAATTTCATGTGTTTATTTTTAGTTTTTAATATGGCTAATAGAACATCTAAAATTATATATGTGACTCACTGTATCTTTTTATTGGACAGCACTGCACTAGAATATCAGACTGTGCCTTCTGAAGACAGAGACAGCCTGGACAGTGCAGGACGTGCCAGAAGCCTTAGTCTTACCCAGAGAAATCCCAGAATAAGTACACTTGTCACAGTGTACATGCCAGAAATCACAGAATAAGTACTCTTGTCACAGAGTGAAATTCTCTTCACACTGACTTTACAATCATAGTCCTGGGGATCTGGGGGCAAGTCACTCTGCTAGTGCTGTGAAGGCAGCAACACTGGGTTTGAGGTAGGCATGTTACTAGAAATAGCCTGAATTTGTGGGTAAAGCCTATCTGTATTTGCATCCTAGCTTCCTCACTTTTGTGACCTTGGGTCTGTAACTGCACTCCTCTGAGCCCATTTTCTTCTTATTTTTTAATGATATGGTTATAGCTATAATTAGGGTGGTTGTGAGGATTAAACGAAATGCGAAATGAAAAGAACAAAGTGTCTTCCAAATAGGATTGGAGCAACATTACATGTTGGCTTATTAACTAGCACTTATTAGTGCTTATTAACTAGCTCTTGGCTAAATGCTTTACAGATGATGACTTATCTCTCTCTGAACAACGCCACGAAGCAGCTTTTACTAATATCTTTGTTTTCAAATAAAAAACCTGACTTATGCCCAAGTCACAGAGGCGGAATCTACCCAGTCCTTCTGGCCCCAAGTTCGGGCTCCACCGCAAACCCAACGCCGGGCGCGCTCCGCGGCAGCTTCACGGGCAGCGCTATAAACGCGCGTCCTCCCGCCGCCGGCAAGGGATCTTCCCGGGTCGGGGCAGCTGCTACCACCCGTGCGCCCACCCAGCGCCTTCCGCCCAAGACGAGCTCCACTGGTGTCCCGGGTCCCGCCCCCTCCCGCCCTCCCCGGTCTGCGTCCGGGCCTCGCTCCGGCACAGGCGGTAGGGGGCCAGCCTCGGGAGACGGGTCCCGGGGCTTCCTGTTCCCTTCTCTCAGGCACAAGCCCACCCCTCCATGCTGGCCCGCTAGCCGCGCAGACCCCCCAACCCCCTCACCTGAGGGGCGAAACCCACGCACTCTCAAGACCGGAGATGGCGGAAGCAGGAAAGCAGGCGACTGCACATGCGCAGAAAACTCAGGCCATCCGTTCCCAGAATGCTGCACGATAACTCATAACAGTCAAGACTACATTTCCGATAAAAAACAACGATCGCTCGCAAATTCTGTGTGTGTGTGGGGGGGGGGGTGTAGGGGGGGGAAGAGTTACGGAGTAATAAGATGTTATGAACAGTCTGTACTGATAACTGGAGCCCAGACTCGACCGAAGCTCAGAGGTTATGGGTTAAATTTTGACATAACAGCAAATACGTGTGGTCTTCCATCGGATCCTGGTTGGAGAAAACAAGAAGACATTTGGGAATAATTGGGGAAATTTGTATATGGATTGGATATTAGAAATATTAAGGGAAGTTATCATTACTTTTGTTGATTGTGATAACATTGGGATTATGTAGGTAAGTTTATTTTTTTTTAGAGACGTGTGTTAAGGTACTTAGCATTGTATTATATATTTGTAATTAAAAACAAGTTAGAAAAGGCAAATATAGCAAAATGTTAAGAATTTCTACCTCTAGAACATGGATATGCTCATTTTACTATTTTCTGCTTTTCTATGTGTTTGGAAATTTTGTAATATGAAGTTCATAAAGGGAAAATTTTGAACTGTCTTTTCAAAAGTATGCCTTTTAACTGAGAGCTGCCAAGAGAAATAAAGATATATGTGTCAAATGACAAAATTAAAACCATTTAGTAATGAGTTTGATGTCCTTTATTCAAGGGAAAACAACCTATGGAATGGGAGAGTACAGTGCCTAACACAGTGGAGCACTCTTCTGAGGAATTTTGGGCAAGAATGAATTTTATAGAGTGTTAGAAGAGGGAACGTGGAAGAAGGGCATGATAGGTTAGGAGGTCAGAGATTTCCTTGTAAGGCAGGTCTTATTTTCTAGGGTAAAGTAAGCTAGCGAAAGCTGAGTTGGAGGATTGTGGTTGGTGTATGTTAGTTTTCCTTGACAATCAGACATGTCCCATAAGTGCAGGCTGACTTAGGTTTAGATTTGTGACATGGGCCCCCATTTTGTGGGTCCTAATCTACAATTAACTTCATCATATGTAAACAGCTTTTGTGAATAAAATTGTAAAATGTAACAAATACTAGAAAATGGAGCCTATCATTAACATAAAGGGTTTTGACAAATGTGTCCACCATTATAGTATCATACAGAATAGTTTCACTGCCATAAAAAATCCTTTGTGCTCTGCCTGTTCATCCCTTCCTCTCCTCTAACCCCTGGGAACCCCTGATTTCTTACTGTCTCCATAGTTTTGCCTTTCTCAGAATGTTATTATAGTTCAAGTCATACAGTTTGTAACCTTTTCAGATTGGCTTCTTTGACTTAGTAATATGCATTTTAGGTTCCTCCAGCATGGCTTGATAGCTCATTTCTTTTTAGCACTGAATAATATTCTATTGTCTGGATGTACCACAGTTTATTTACCCATTCACCTACTGAAGGGCATCTTAATTATTTCCAGGTTTTGGAAATTATGAATAAAGCTGCTATAAAAATCCACGTGCAAGTTTTTGTGGGGACATAAGTTTTCAGTTCATTAGGGTAAATACCAAGGAGCTTGATTGCTGGATCATTTGGTGTAAGTATAGTTTTGTAAGAAATTGCCAAACTTTTTCCAAAGTGGCTGAGCCATTTTGCATTCTCACCAGCAATGAAGGAGAGTTCCTGTTGTGGCATATCCTTGCCAGCATTTGATGTTGTCAGTGTTCTGGATTTTGGCCGTTATAATAGGTGTATAGTAGTATCTCATTGTTGTTTTAATTTGCAATTCCCTAATGACATATGATGTTGAGCATCTTTTCATATGCTTATTTGCCATCTGTATATCTTTTTTGGCGAGGTGTCTATTTGGATCTTTGCCCATTGTTTAATTGAGTTGTTTGTTTTCTTATTGTTTTGAGAGTTCTTTGTATATTTTGGATAACAGTGCTTTATCAGATACGTCTCTTACAAATATTTTCTCCTAGTCTGTGGCTTGTCTCCCCATCCTCTTGTCTTTTGCAGAGCAGAAGTTTTTAATTTGAATGAAGTCCAGCTTTTCAGTTATTTCTTTCATGGATCATGTTTTTGGTGTTATATCTAAAAAGTTATTGCCAATCCAAGATCATCTAGATTTTATCCTATGTTATCTTCTAGGAGTTTTCTAGTTTTTCACTTTACAATTAGGTTTATGATTTACTTCAAGTTAATATTTGCAAAGGATATAAGGTCCAGATACATTTTTTTTTTTTTTGCATGTGGCTATCTAGTTGTTCCAGCACTATTTATTGAAAAATTTGTAATTTCTCTATTGTGTTACCTTTGTTCCTTGGTTGAAGATCAGTTGACTGTATTTGTGTGGGTCTATTTCTGGGCTCTCTGTTCTTTCCATTGATCCATTAGTCTATTCTTTCACCAATACCACACTGTCTTGATTACTGTAGCTTTATAGTAATTCTTTTTTTGTGTGTGTGAGGAAGATTAGCCCTGAGCTAACATCCGGTGCCAATCTTCCTCTTTTTTGCTGAGGAAGATTTGCCCTGGGCTAACATCCGTGCCCATCTTCCTCTACTTTATATGGGACGCCACCAGAGCATGGGTTGACAAGTGGTGCATTGGTCTGCACCCCGGATCCAAACCCGCGAACCCCAGTCTGCTGAAGCGGAGCGTGGGAACTTAACTGCTATGCCACCAGGCTGGCCCTTATAGTAATTCTTGAAGTTGGGTAATGTCAGTCCTCTGACTTCGTTCTTCTGTTTCAATATTGTGTTGGCTAGTCTGGGTCTTTTGCCTCTCTATATAAACTTTAGAATCAGTTTGTTTATATCCACAAAATAACTTGCTGTGATTTTGATTGGGATTGCATTGAATCTATAGATTGGAAAGAACTGACATCTTGGCAATATTGAGTCTTCCTATCCATAAACATGGAATACCTCTATATTTATTTACTTATTCTTTCATTTCTTTCATCAGTTTTGTAGTTTTCCTCATATAGATCCTGTACATATTTTGTTAGATTTAAGTTTTTCATTTTCTTGGGATGCTATTGTAAATGGTATTGTGTTTTTAATTTCAAATTCCACTTGTTTATTGCTGTTTTTTAGGAAAATGATTGGTATTTGTATATTAACCTTGTATCCTGCAACCTTGCTCATTGGTTCCAGTTTTTTTTGTCGATTCTTCAGATTTTCTACGTAAGACAATCATATCATTTGTGAACAAAGATGGTTTTATTTCTTCCTTCCCAATCTGTATATGTTTTCTTTTCTTGTTTTATTGTATTAGTAAGACTTGATTAGTAAGACCAGTATGATGTTGAAAAGGAGTGGTGAGAGAGGACATCCTTGCCTTGTTCCTGATCTTAGTAGGAAAGCTTCTAGTTTATGCCATTAAGTATCATGTTAGCTGCAGGTTTTTTGTGGATGTTCTTTATCAGGTTGAGGAAGTTCCCCGCTTTTGTTCCTAGTTTGCTGAAAGTTTTTATCATGAATAGGTGTTGGATTTTGTCAAACGCTTTTTCTGCATCTATGGTTATAATCATGTGATTTTTCCTCTTTAGCCTGTTGATGTGATGGATTATATTACATTACATTGATTTTCAAATGTGGAACCAGCTTTGCATACTTGGGATAAACCCCACTTGGTTGTGGTGTATAATTCTTTTCATACATTATTTGATGCAGTTTGCTAATATTTTGTT